AGGGAATTAGGAGGGGAGGGGAACAAATTAAAGTGGGGTGGGGGAGGAGAGGAGGAGCTGATAGAAAGGAGGGTGGGTTGGGAGAAGCAGTAACACAGAAGCAAAACAACTGTGAGGAGGAAAAGGATGAAAGGAGAGGACAACCAAAACTAAAATAGGTTGGAGAGAAATATACAATAATCATAACCATGATGTGAAAAAATGGGATAAACTCACACATAAAATGGATAGTAGAGTGGATTAAAAACCAGAATTCAACAATATGTTTAGAAGAAACACACCTGAAGCTGAGAGACACAGAGTAAAGGTAAGAGGGTGGAGCAGAATCTATTATGCTTCAGCTTCAGTAAAAAATAAGCAGGGGTAGTGATTATGATCTCAGACAAAGCAAAAGCAAAAATAAATCTAAATAGGGAAACTATATTTTGCTAAAAGTTATCATAAAAAATGAAATAATATCAATACTAAACATATACGTACCAAATGGTATAGCATCCAAATTCTTAAAGAGAAAGTTAAATTAGTTACAGGAGGAAATAGTAAAACTATACTAATGGGGGACCTCAACCTTCCCCTCTCAGAACTGGATAAATCCAAAAAATGAGATTCAAATCAAAAAATAAGATAAAGATATGAATAGCATTTTAGAAAAGTTAGATATGACAGACTTTTGGAGAAAACTGAATTGAAATACAATGGATTATACTTTTTTCTCAGCTGTACATGGTAACTTCACAAAAACTGACCATGTTATTAGGGCAGAAAAACCTCACAACCAAATGCAGAAATATTAAGTACATCATTTTCATCACCTAAATGAAATAAAAATTACCTTTAATCATTCAAAAAAGGGCCATGGAAACAGGTTAAAAATGAATTGGCAAGTAATCTAATCTTAAAGAATGAGTGGGTCAAAGAACAAATCATTTTTTATTATTTTCTTTTTTCATTTACATTTTCATTCACTCAATTTCTTGAAGAGATTGACAAGACAACATACCCTAATTTATGGGATGCAGACAAAGCTGTACTTAGGGGGAAATTCATATCTCTAAATGCTTACATCAGTAAATAGAGAAAGAACAGACCAATGAAGTCAGAGGGTTAGGGCTACAGGTTAGGGTTACCCTCCGACTCTAACCCTTAATACGGCTTAAAAAGCTAGAAAAAGAACAAATTAAAAATCCCCAATTAAACATTAAATTGGAAATACTGGAAATCAAAGGAGAGATTAATAAAATTAAAAGAAACCCATTTAACTAATAGTGCTGGTTTGATGGAAAAAAACCACAGTAAAATAGGCGAACCATTGGTTAATTTGATTTTTACAAAGTTCAGAAGAAAACCAAATTACTAGTATCAAATTGAAAGGGGTGAATTCACCACCAATGAAGAGGAAACAAAAACAATTATCAGGAGCTATTTTGACAAATTACATGTCAATAAATTTGACAATCTAAATGAAATGGATGAATATCTACAAAAACATAAATTACCCAGATTAACAGAAGAAGAAACAGAATACTTAACCCAATCTTAGAAAAAGAAATGGAACAAATCATCAATGAACTACCTAAGAAAAAATCCCCAGGGCCAGATGGCTTCACAAGTGAAGTTGATCAAACATTTAAACGTTAACTAATTCCAATACTATGCAAACTACTTGGAAAAATAGGCAAAGGAATCCTTCCAAATTCTCTTTATGACATAAATATGGTGCTGATATCTAAACCAGAAAGAGCTAAGACAGAGGAAGAAAACTAAAATTTAAAAAAAAAAAAAACAAAACAACAAAAAACCAAAAGTGAATATCGATGCAAAAACTTTTAATAAAATATTAGCAAAGAGATTACAGCAATTTATCATGAGGATAATATACTATGACCAGGTGGGATTTATACCAGGAATACAGGGCTAGTTCAATATGAGGAAAGCTACCTGCATAATTGACCATATCAATAACAAAACCAACAGAAATCATGTTTGTCTCATTAGATGAAGAAAAAGCCTTTGACAAACACAGCACCCATTCCTATGAAAAATACTAGAGAGCATAGGAGTAAATGGAGCTTCCCTTAAAATGGTAAGTAGTATCTGTCTAAAACCAGCAATCAAGACTAGAAGGAAAGCAGAAAGCTGGGAAACGATCTTTACAACAAGTATCTCTGACAAAGGCCTCATTTCTCAAACATACAGAGAACTAAGTCAAATTTATAAGAATACAAACCATTCCTCAATTGATAAATGGTCAAAGGATATGAACAGGAAGTTTTCAGATGAAGAAATCAAAGCTATCTTTAGTCATATGAAAAAATACTCTAAATCACTATCAATTAGAGAAAAGAAAATTAAAACAACTATACGTCACACCTATCAGATTGGTTAATATTCCAAAAAAAGAAAATGATAAATGTTGGAAAGGATGTGGGAAAATTGGGACACTAGTGCACTGTTGGTAGAGTTGTGAACTGATCCAACCATTCTGGAGAGCAATTTGGAACTATGTCCAAACTATGCCATAAAACTGTGCATACCCTTTGATCCAGCAACACCATTAACTAGGTCTGTATACCTAAGATATAGTAAAAAAAAAAAAAAGGAAAGGGAAAGGACCTATTTGTACAAAAGTATTCATAGCAGCTTTTTTTTTTTTGGAGTGGCAAAGAACTGGAAATCGAGGAAATACCCAACAATTGGGGAATAGCTGAAAAAGTTGTGGCATATGACTGTAACAGAATACTATTATGCTATAAGAAATTATGAGCAGGCAGATTTCAGAAAAACCTAGACTTATATGAAATGATGCCAAGTGAAGTGAACTAGGAGAACATTTTAACACAGTAACAGTAACATTGTATGATGATCAAATGTGAATGACCTAGCTATTCTCAGCAATACAAAGGTCCAAGATAGTACTGAAGGACTTACATTGACAAATGCAATCCACCTCCAGAGAAAGAACTGATGGACTGTGAATGCACATCAAAGCACACTTTTTTTTCCGTTTACTATTTTTGGGGGGGTTTTTTGCTCTGTTTTCTTTTGCAATGTGGCTAATATGGAAATGTTCAACTCTCTCTCAACTCCTCCATCTCATTGTTGAAGGGGTTGTGGGAAAACAGGCAAACTGTTAGTGGAGCTACAAATTCATCTGGCCATTCTGGAAAGCAGTTTGAAATGCCCCAAAAGCCAATAAACTACTAGGCCTATGGCCCAAAGAGATCAAAGAAAAGGGAAAAGGACTTGTGTCCAAAAATACTGACAGGAGTAGCAACAAACTGGAAATAGGGGGATGCCCACTAATTGGGAAATAACAAATTATGGCATATGACTATAACAAGATATTAGTATGCTGCAAGAAAAGATGAAAGGAACAGTTTTAGAAAAACCTAGAAAGGCCTTTTTATTTAACTGATGAAGACGGAAGAGAGCAGACCCAGGAAAACAATTTACATAGTAACAACCACCTTGAAAGACTTAAAAACTTTAATGTGACGACTAACAATGATTCCAAAGGACCTACCTACCTACCTCCTCCTAACAAATGATGAACTCAAGGCACAGAATGTGACGTGTTCTGAGACACGGAAAATGTATGGATTTGTTTTAACTGACTCCCTTTATTTCTCACAAAGTTTGTGTCTGTGTTGGGTACAGGACATTTAAGGGGGAAAGGTGAGTTGGTCACACTTTTGCCAAAGAAAGGATTACTGGAGACAGCTAGGTGGTGCAGTGGATAGAGCTCCGGCCTTGGAGTCAGGAGGACTTGACACTTACTAGCTGTGTGATCCTGTTTAAATACTTAACCCTGATTGCCTCACCAAAAAGCAAAAAAAAAAAAAGGAAAAAAAAATCGAATGGATTACTGAAGCACTTTTGAAGGAAACATACAAGCAGGAAAGAGTGGGGAACCTGAGGCCTTGAAGCTCCACGGCCCTCTAGGTCCTCAAGTGCGGCTCTTTGAGTTCAAGTTTTACAGAACAAAACTTTTTATTAAGAGGATTTGTTCTGTAAAACTTGGACTCGGTCAAAGGGCCACATTTGAGGTCCTAGAGGGCCACATGTGGCTTCAAGGCCGCAGGTTCCAGACCCCTGCCCTGGTCTATGATTGCTGCTTTAGCTTCCACTTTCAATTTCACCAAACAATACCATCATTAAAGGAGTCACAAGATGGCAAAGCATGGCACTCCCTTTATTTCCTGTGAGATGGCCCATTCCAGCCCTACATTGAAACTCTTTCTTACTTTCTTTTTTTTAATTTTTTTTTTCTTTCTTACTTTCAAATCTAAGAAGCTAGATGGAATTCAGAGAAAAAATTAAGGAGGAATCCAGGCAGAAAAGACTTAGACTTTTATATTTCACCACCTCATCAAAAGTAAGAGCTGATTAGAGGTCATGGTCCTCTGCAGACTACTGCAGCCCAATCTGACCCTATCCTAGCTACCTCTGGAGGTGAAGAGACAATTCAGGGTCAGGTTTTCTTTATCATTCTTGCTGTCCTATTGACCCCTACAGACCTCCAAAGGTCTTTCCTTTAAAATAAATGAGCACTAAGACACCAAGAAACAAAGAAAAATGCTACTCTTCTGGTTTAGAAACTCACACTGAAGATTTACACATCGCAACTCCAGAGTGGTCTTCTTTCTCCTATATGACTTATGAACCAGCGTTAAAGAGATAAATAAGAAAAAATATATAACTGGGATCAACTGGTCAGAAGAAGAATCCAGAGTTAAGAGAAATACTTCCAGAAATAATTTGGAGGAGCAAGGTGACAGCTCTTGGACTAAGGAATGTGAGACACAGTAACACTTAGAAAAGTGGTCAAAAAAGAGATTATTTAGTAAAAGGCAAAAGAAAAGAAGCTTTTCCTTTAAAAATAAAAAAGGCTGAATTGCTCTACCCAACATTAAGAAGCAGTCTCAGAGCTCAACACTGGACGCCAATCCTCTACGATTCAGAATCTTAATAGCCACTTACAATGGGAGTCTTCAACTTACTCAAGTTTCTCCAGTTTCATCAGCGCTTCCTGCTGCGCTGTGTGCAGCTGCTGCATCTTGTCCACGGAGGATTTCTGCAAAAGCAATTCAATGAGTTTCTACTAACCCATTTCAAGAGAACCTGGCACATAAAAATTTCAAAATGTGGTCCTCTGGCACAGCACCCCCAGTCAGAAATTATATTTGAAACATGACTAGCAGGTAGTAACCAGAGACTCTTGATCACATGCAGATAATCTCAGGAGAAAAACAAATATTGGGGAAGTGAAAGCAGTTACTTGCTTGAGCTCTCCCCAAACCCCTCCAAACACCCATAAAAAAATGGCTCTAAACAAATTCTAAAGAAGCAGAACCCACAAAAAGACAGAGTAAAACAAATTTCCAGCCCAAAACAGCCTGGATGATTGATTGGAAAGGCATATAGGGAAGGGAGAGGAGCACAGTGGTGTGGGCGCGCAGGCCGCAGCGAACCTAGAGCAGGCCTCAGAGGAATGAATCACAGGCAGCTGTGGTGGTTTCCAGACTCATCAATCCACGAACACCAAAGACAACTCAGAAGGTCAGTGGGAAAAGTCTGTTTTTTCAGTGAGAGAAGAGCTAGGTCAGAGCCAGTTCCAGAGCACAGAGCACGGGCACTGGGGTGGTGGCTGCATTCCGAGCTTCTGGCCCACAGACTGAGGAGGAATCAAGTGGCTGATCAGAGAGGGACTGCAGGGATCTCTTTGCTGGTGCTGAGGCAGGAATCTCTTGCCTCCCCGGTGCTTGGATCTGGGTCACAGTCCTGGGTGGCGGTCCTGGGGTGACAAGCAGCGCTGGAGCGGTTGAGCTTGTAGTGGCAGTGGAGAAGAAACCCTCCTCACAGTTCCAAGAGAAAAAAGACTGCTTGTGCACTCAAAGACCAGAGCACAGGCCAGGAAAAGAGTAAACACCTCAACCCCTATCCTACCACCTTGGAAGAACTGAAAATTTACAGGTCCCTAGAAGTATCTCTGAAAACAACTATACAAACCCTCGAAGTTTGGGACAGTACATTCTCCATATTGGAAGCAGACTTTACCTTAACAAAGAGTTTAAAACTCAAGTATTGGCTGGGATCATGAGCAAACCACAAAAAGAGTCAGACTATATTATCTTACTTGGTGACAAAGAAGATCAAAACATACAACCAGAAGAAGACAACAAAGTCAAAGCTCCACATCCAAAGCCTCCAAGAAAAATATGAATCAGTCAGGCCTTTGAAGAAGCCCAAAAGGGATTTTGAGAAGCAAGTAAGAGAAGTAGAGGAAAAACTGGGAAGAGAAATGAAGTGATGCAAGAAAATCATGAAAAACAAGTCAACAGCTTGCTAAAGGAGACCCAAAAAAATACTGAAGAAAATAACACCTTAAAAAATAGCCTAACCCAAATGGCAAAAGAGGTCCAAAAAGCCAATGAGGAAAGAATGCCCTAAAAAGCAAAATTGGCCAAATGGAAAAGGAAGTCCAAAAGCTTACTGAAGAAAATACTTCCTTAAAAATTAGAATAGAGCAATTGGAAGATAGTGACTTTATGAGAAATCAAGACACTGTAAAACAAATCCAAAAGAATGAAAAATTAGAAAATAACGTGAAATATCTCATTGGAAAAACAACTGACCTGGAAAATAGATCCAGGAGAGAGAATTTAAAAATTATTGGACTATCTGAAAGCCATGATCAAAAAAAGAGCCTAGACATCATCTTTCAAGAAATTATCAAGGAAAACTGCCCTGATATTTTAGAACCAGAGGGCAAAATAGAAATTGAAAGAATCCACAATCCCCCTGAAAGAGATCCCCAAAGGAAAACTCCTAGGAATATTGTAGCCAAATTCCAGAGTTCCCAGGTCAAGGAGAAAATATTACAAGCAGCCAGAAAGAAACAATTCAAGTATTGTGGAAACACAATCAGGATAACACAAGATTTAGCAGCTTCTACATTAAGGACCACAGGGCATGGAATATAATATTCTGGAGGGCAAAGGAGATAGGATTACAACCAAGAATCACCTACCCAGCAAAACTGAGTATAATCCTTCAGGGGAAAAAATGGTCATTCAGTGAAATAGAGGACTTTCAAGCATTCTTGATGAAAAGACCAGAGCTGAATAGAAAATTTGACTTTCAAATACAAGACTCAAGTGGAACATGAAGAGGTAAACAGGAAAGAGAAATCATAAGAGACTTATTAAGGATGAACTGTTTACATTCCTGCATGGAAAGATGATATTTATAACTCATGAGACCTTTGTCAGTATTAGGGTAGTGGGAAGGGAAAAAATTATATGTATGTATAGATAGATAGATAGATAGATAGAGGGCACAGGGTGAGTTGAAGATGAAGGGGTGATATCTAGAGAATAAAATTAAAGGGTGAAAGAGGATTATACTAGGAGAAGGAGAAAGGAGAGGTAGAATGGGGTCATTATCTCACAAAACAGACAAGAAAAGGTTCTTACAGTGGAGGGGAAACAGGGGAAGGTGAGAGGAAATGAGGGAATCTTATTCTCATAGGATTTGGCTTAAGGAGGGAATAACATACACACTCAATTGGGTATGGAAATCTGTCTTACCCTACAGGAAAATAGGGGAGGAAGGGGACAAGAGAGCAGGGGGATGATAGAGAGAAGGGCACATTGGGAAAGGGGTAATCAGAAGGAAGGTACTTCTGAGGAGGGACAGGGTCAAAAGAAATAGAAGAAATGGGGGGGCAGGATAGGATTAAGGGACATAGAGTTAGTTTTTCACAACATGCCTACTACGGAAGTGTTTTGCATAACTGCACATGTGTGGCCTGCATTGACTTGCTTGCCTTTTCAATGAGGGTGGGTGGGGTGGGAGGAAGGGAGAAAATTTGGAACCCAAAGTTTTAAAAACACATGTTTTAAAAAAAACGTTTCCATATGCAACTGGGAAATAAGAAATACAGGAAATGAGGTACAGAAATCTATCCTGACCTACAGGAAAATAGAAGGGGAAGAGGATAAGAGAAGGAGGGGAGAGATAGAAGGGAGGGCAGACTAGGGGAAGGGGTATTCAGAATGCATGCCATCTTGGAAGGGGCAAGATGGAGTGAAAATTTGGAATTCAAAATCTCGTGGAAGTAAATGTTGAAAACTAAAAATAAATAAATTTATATTAAAAAAAAATATTGGATTGAAGACTCTAAAGGAAAGATACCGCCAATGAGATCTGAACATACATTTAGAAAAGCTATTGGAGGATGCAAAGGATTTGTCCTTGCCTCTTCAGACTGCTTTGAATATTATACTGTAGAGCAGAAGCAGAACAAAATCGAATCCTTCATTCACTTTGGTATTAATTTATTCAAGGGATATTCAATAAGCATTAAGAACTACCAAGTCCAATGCACTATATTATACACAGGGAAAACAAAAAGACAGAGTTCCTGATTTCTCTGCTTATAAACCAGTAAGTGTATATTTCTATCTGTTTAAACGATAGGAATATGGTTTCTAGAGCTTATTCCTGGCTCCTTTGTGACAAAAGACCACCTCTGGTGAAGCTTCTGGACTCCCCTACTATTTCCTGGGGTTAGAGAATACCATTGCTCCAGTTTTGTAGACCTGAGAGATGAAAAGTGGCTGCCTAGGACCAATTTGCATATGCAATACCAAATATGAAGTAACATAAGCAAACCAACAACTATAATCAGCTATTCTAATTAGAAGTCTAACCTAATCAAATCAAATCTAAAATAACCTACTCTGATTAGAAGTCTAAGCTTCTATTACATACCAGTTAAACAACTTAATTTATAGAACTGTGGACTTATCCTACGATACTAGTATCAGTTCAGAAGCACCCAGGACATTTTTATAAACCTAAGAGTAGATTAGTTAATGCCCTTATTATTAAAATCAGAGAATCTTAAAAGCCAGATGGGGCCTTAGGTTACCTGGGCTAACTAACACCTTAAGTATCAATTTCCTTCATGATGTTTTAAGGAGTGGGTAGGCAAGCTGTATGTTGAAACAGGACTGTGGTATAAAAACACAAAGCATAATAAAACTTTTTTCTTAATTCGGAGAATATTAAACTAAAGACTTAAACTCACAAATGCTTTGCTTTGCCCAATAACCACAGTACTGAGGTTTGGCTCGTTTCTGCATCATCTAGATGTCCCTCTGCACCTCCTCACTCTGCCTCTAAAACTATACATTATAACAAAATTTTTTTTAAAAATTCAGGAAAACTAATCAGTGTACGGAAGAAGTCTATCATCCTACCCAACAGTCTCTACCTGTGGACCCTGACTTCTGCCAAGGAAACGCGAAACTGTAATTTCACAAGTTCCATCTTTAACACCAAAGTGAACAAAGAATTCCGTTTTCTTCTCCAAAGTGTGTGTGAGGGGCAGCTAGGTGGCGCAGTGGATAGAGCACTGGCCCTGAAGTCAGGAGACCCTGAGTTCAAATCAGGCCTCAGACCCAACACTTGACACTTACTAGCTATGTGACCTTGGGCAAGTCACTTAACCCCAATTGCCTAAAAGCCAAAAAAGAGAAAAGAAAATATGGAGTTAAAGAAAATACTAAATTAACAAATGAAATCTCTTGCTGCTCTTTGTTTAAAAGGGCATCTACAATTCAGGAAATGTTTGTGGAAGACTGTGCCCAAAGTAAGCCAAAAAATGACATTTCATCTTACATATTCCAATAAGTGTTTCATGTACGTTTCTCGACGTGATTCTCTGAAGTGAATGAAGTTGATGATGGCACTTAGAAACCGACATGTACGTTTTCCTTCTGAAATAGAAAGCAAAACAATGCCAGCATAAATGTGGTTCTTAAAGACATCAAGACAGCCTAAAACTAGGAATTAATTTCCCACCTGTTAGCAAAACATCCATTCAGCTTTTAAAATAAAGAATAATGCCACTTTCATGCAGTTGATAACTAATTTAATTACCATAAATAGCTTAGATTCAACAACTGCTTTCATTTTTCCCATTAAAACTGTACAGCCAACTTGCTTGTGTAGACCTAGATGTACACAGTTAGAGGGGTGATGGTCGGGTAAGAAGAGAGGAGTGGTATTTTTTAAAAAAATGAATAAATCAGCCTACAGTAGTTTAAGTGGAATGGAAGCATGAAGCAAACCTTAACATCATATTATTTTTTAAATTATAATTTTCTAATAAATTAATAACTTTAAAAGTATTATAAGATACAGATAGCATTACTAGAAATTCAGAAGTGAGGGAAATGTCTTTTGTCTAAAGCTGTGTGTCCATTCACTGGCCAATACTGTCTTTTAAGACAGTGGCTGGTTAGGTGCTCCATTCCTTCAAATCAATGCTTAATTAATTAATGCAAATTAATGCACTTTCCAGGGGGCAGGGCCCTCCTCTTCCTGCCACTACCTTCCTTCAATGTCCTCCACATGCCTCTTAGCCCACACCCCATAGCAGAGACCATGCTCTGGAAGACCTTCCACCCAACAGCACACCCTTCTCATTGGTAACCACCTCTCCAATAGTACTTTCAGGAAAGCTGGCCTTCACTTCACTCCCCCCTTTCCTTCACAGGCTCTTCACCATCTGCCCCGTCTTCCTTCTAGAATCACTTCTGCCCATTTCTCCAAGGGGGAGGGGGTGAGTGTTCCATCTACCCCACCCCCACCCCATTCACACCTGCCATTTTCCCAAACAAAGGGCCCCTCCCTAGACAGTGCTCCTCTATGAGTGAGGTTTTGCCAATCAGAATATAAGTCTGTTGAGGGCAAGGACAGTCTTTGCCACTATAATTTAGACTCACAGAGCTTAGCACATAGCAAGCCCCTCACATGGCAAGCTCTCATTCATTGTGTTTTGCTTTTATCTTCCTAACATGAATCAGACTTTTTCTTTATTAAACTAAGGAAGTATTGGTCTTGGGAGCACACTGTAGCAGGACTTTTCTTCTGCAGAAGACATCAGTTAGGGTTCTACAAAACAATAATTGGCATAATTTTTTATTCTCTACAAGTGTGAATTTCTTGATAAGTTTCCTGTGGTACTTCTGTATATGAAAGTAAACAATGTGTTACAGACAGATGTGTCTATGAACAAACATTTCCACTTACTTGGGTACAGAATATCAGCAAACTCAAAATCATTCACCCGACAAATGCGAAGAAAAGCCTCCCTGAGGTGTGGACAAAACAAATGCATGTGTTTACTCAATTTTATCCCGAGAAACAAAGGCAGACAATCACTAATACAACTTATCAACGACCTGCACTTTGCCTTCCTCTACCCAGCCCTTGGGATGGCACCAGTGAGCCTAGATACCGAAGACAGTTGGGCTGAGCACGTATGTGCAGGGCTCTTGGCTCTCCTTTTCCTGGTCGGCATTATTCCTACAGCTCTGTATTTCTACAGTCTTTGTATTTTCACTGAGGATGTGGAATCAAGAATGTCTTGGGCTTGAATGTATTCTGACAACGTCAGGCTAAAATCACAGGTGTACAGCATCTTTTCTAAGCCACAGTTTCTTATTTGTGAAACAGAGAGGAAGCCAGGTGGCTCAGCGGACAGAGCAGCGTACCCAAGGACGAGAAGATCCGAGTTCAAATTTAACCTCAGACACTCACTAGCTGGGTGCCTCTGGCTGTGTAACAAGGGGATAATCATCACACCTACCTCCCAGGGTTGCTGTCATCATAAAATGATCTAATGTTTTAGAAGCACTTTTATAAATGTGCGCTACGATTATTAAAGAGGAATAATAACTTTAGTTTCACAGGTTTGCAGTAAGAACAAAATGACATAATATATGTAAAAGCCCTCGGTCTGAATCCCCTGTTCTTTCCCTACAGACCTGTGTAACTTGAGGTAAAGTACTCCATAAACCTTACATCATCTCTTATTTTAATCTGCCATTCTGAGTCATGTTAAAGCCATGTGCCCAATGGCGGGCATTTGTTGACATTCTTGCCTCCAGACAACCAGCTTTCAGGAGGATGACCGCCGCCAAAAGTGCTGCCCTCATAATTTCACCTTCTGGTTATATTTACTACACAAGTATTTAAGAACAGCCAAGCTATTGGTTAGGTTTCCAAAATGGTAGGCAATGTGGGAAGCAAGGATGCCATTAGGGTCACCAGCCCACACAAAGGGATCCATGCCAAAACCTGACAACTCAAGTTGAAAGTATTCTGAAAACTTAAAATAACTGTCTCCCTCTCACAATGGAAGCTATTTAACCGGAGTACTTTTTACTTCAACGTGTCCTAAGTCCATGAATCTAAAAATCCAAGTGGAAAAAGAAAAACAAAACTTTTCTTGTGGGTTTTAATTTTTAAAGGTTAAATTAAAGTAACAGGTAATAGAAAGTTAAAAAAAAACCACAATTTTACTTACATATAAATAAACAAGTTACATAATGGTAAGAAGCCTTCCATTATCTGTGGGTACATGACTTCAATGTTCACTGGCATCTAAACACAGAAACGTAGGAAAGGTCAGGCGGGCTGCAATGGTAGACACATTCACAACTTACCTTTAACTCCTAAGTGCCTAGATCACCCATCCCACAACCTCATCGTGAATGACTTTCCATTAATACCAGCCCCAAATAAAAACTGAGGTTGGTAGGCAACGGCCAAGTCTATATACTTCACAGGGGAGGAAGCAGGTCTAAGGGGATCCAGGAAGTCCCCTTCTTAGCCCTCCAGGGCACTAGAGAATAAAGATTTCTTTTTCTCATGCAAACTTTAGCTTTACGTTGGTGACATGGGATTTGGCAGTTGAACGTGTCCCTCTGGACACATAAAATCCTGCAAGCCTTTATCAGCCATAAGCCACTATTGCAAGCATATTCTCCCAGAGGAAAGAGCCATAAGCTTAAATGAATCAGAATCAATCAGCCAATAAAACATTTACTAAGCTCCTACTGTTTGCTAGGCACTGAGCTAAGCAGCCTGTCCTTGAGGACTCCCAAACAAGAGAGGGAAGGCACTAACATTAAGGAGGCTCGGTAGAGGCTTCTACTAGAGACTGGGAGTTGAGGGAAGCCAGGAGACAGAGATGAAGATGGGGAGAATTCCAGGCACGAGGGAAAAGCAGTGAAAATGTCACAGTCAGGAGATTAAGAGACAGCTAGGTGGCATGGTGATGGGAGCTCCAGACCTGAAGTCAGGAGGACCCAAGTTCAAATCCTGTCTTATTAACTGTGTGACCCTGGGCAAGTTACTTGACCCTGTCTACCTCAGTTTCCTCATCTGTAAAATGAACTGGAGAAGGAAATGGCAAACCACTTCAGTTATCTTTGCCAAGAAAACTCCAACTGGGGTCATGAAGAGTAGTCTTGTTTGAAGAATGGCAAGGAGGCCAGCATCACTGGACTGCAGAGAGGACAATAAGGTAAAGACAGAAAAGGCCAGAGTGGCTTTGAGGGGCAAATACAAGATTTCATATTCAATTCTGAAGGTGCCAAAGAATACCTGGAGTTGATTTTGAGGAGAGGGGAACCTGTCCTGCAAGAAGATCACTTTGGCAGCTGAGGACGGGCTACAAGGGGGAGAGACTTTCTGTCACCAACTGGACTGGGCTTCAACTCCATGAAACAAGCTATCTCCTCTCTTGCCCACTCCCCAGTTCCTGGCACATAGTGGGTATTTAATAAATGTTCACTGAATTAAATATATTGAATGGAAATCACCTCATAGACTACCTTGGTAGTCCAGGCACAAAGTGATGGAGTGGTAATAGTGTTGGAAGGGAGAAGGTGGTATCTAAGGGTCTATGCACGCTTTGGCAACAGACTGGGTATGAGGGAGGGGACTGAGACCAGAACAGCCAACTTGCCTCCCTGCTTTGTATCCGAAGATAAAATAAGTCTCTTCCTTTCTAACCCTAACCCTAGCTTAAGCCGGGTCACTTCTAGCAGAGCTACCCGAGTTGCCCAGGATAAAACACACTGAGTTCTACTGATTGAGAAAGCAAGGAATCAACATTTATTAAGCACCTACTATGCACCAGGCACAGAGTTAGGCACTGGAAATACAAAAAGAAGCAAAAGAGTCCTTGCCTTCAAGGAGCTTACAGTCTAATGGGGAAGACTGAGAGCAGAAAGTGCTTCAATTTGGCATTTTTAGACCTGGTACCCAGCATGGTGCCCAGGCACACAGCTGATTTCATCTATAAACTAAAGAAAATTTAAACACTGAATCATCATTAACCAAAGAATCCTAAAAAAATCTATGTATATACATATATATGTATCCATCCATCTATCTGTCTATAATATATTCATTTCATACACACACATACCAACACAAAAAATAAGATCATTTGACAGAGGAGAAAGCCCAGTAACCAGAGGGGTGGCGTAATGCCAGGTTCAATCCCACTCTCTGCATGGCGCAACTTGAAGGCAGAGACAATTTTGTTTTTGGTCTGTCTCTTTCTTGAGGCGGGGACAACTATAGAAAAGCCCAGTGAATTGAACCAAATTCGGGTTTTCTATGTAGCACTAATCACAGGAAAATAGCTCTATCTGGAAATACCACCCTCCTGTTTTCTGGTTGTTTTCAATTATACTGGCACCTTTGTCTGACTGTTCTCCTATTCAGGCCGACTTCTTGTGAATAAGGCAATGACAGAGATGTTCACACTGACTTACTGTTATCTCTAAAGACAGTTCTAAAAATCGTTTCATAGTTTTAATAATATCTGAATACATATGATCTCCATGGTTGGGTTAATCCTCCCTTAAAAAATGTACTGATATCCATCTTAGTGAACCCCATGTTTGGTCACTTGAATACAACGGAAAAGGATGAACTTCAATTGAATTGAAATAGGATGTCCACACAAAGAATCCACTGTGCCCGATGGGAAGGAGAAAAGCAGCAAGAAGGTTTTTATGTTTCATCTTAATAACAGTCCCATTTCTGCAGTACTTCACACACACAGTATTTGCCATGTTATCTCACCGGAACTTCCAAGCTAACCCACCATGTAAAAGGGGTCCAGTGGAATCCCATATACGATTTGTAGAGTTCGCAAGAAAATTTTACGCAAGACTTCAGGCTGCAAGAGAAAAATATCTACCTTAAAAATCCATCTTTTTAATATAAAAGAAACCCCATCATTCTTATCACTGAAATAAATACTGCAGTATTTGATGGTGATTGGCATATTCATTGAAAAGGATAAGAACAATTAAATTACCCAATTCTATTCTCCCTCAAATTTATTTTCACTTTTTCTAATTGTAATACATTATAGTATGGTGAACTCTCTGTATAAACAAGGAGCACTCAAGACTTTGAATTATATTGGTTGCTTAAACTCCCACAAAGCAGCATCATGAAAGTCAATGTATCTAAACTCCTTTAAAAACGTCATATACAGATACCTACAATTTTCCCCACTAAGAGAAATAGTAAATAAGGTTGGTCTAGCTGGGAGCCATGCAAATTTAGAAAATGCAACACTTTCAACAGGGAGGTCAAACATATTTTATGGAGGCAGAACATAAGAAGCAGCTCAAGGACATTAATACAACCAGTGTTATTTGGTGCCCTGATTTACAAGTGAACATCTTCCAGTGGGTTTAGCATCAAGCAGGCCACTGAAAGCCCTACCTTCTACCCCAAGAGTAATTCCACCTATTTTCCTGGCATGCTGAAAACTTTCCAGATCTTCTCTGAACTAGATCAATCCAGAGAACTGTCACATTAGAGAAGAAGGGGGTAAACTGGAGACTGGTCAAAAGCTTATATCCAGAATAAGCATCTCAGTGCACATCCAGTATGGACACTCAGGTCCAGACTCTGACACAGACTAGCTGTGTGATCCTGGACAAGATACTTAAGGTCTTGGGGCTCTGACCCAGAGGCATCAAACTCAAAAGAGCCTGAGCCAGAAGAAAATATCATTGGGAAATGTTTAACAAAATAATATTAATTTGTGGTTTTCTAAGTCACCATGTGGCTAGCAGGGATCCATTTCTACTTGAATTTGACACCACTATCTCACTGGGAAAGACTGAATTGTAGAGAAGCTACACACCCACATCTTGAGGCAAACAACTTAGTTTCCCAAATCTAATCACCAATAGGAATGGGAGAAAGTAGCCCCATATATCATTTCAATGTCATTTCTAAATAAACCATGTGGTAGAAAACATAGACTCTCTGTATGAAAAAGGCTGTTGCGCACTGAACAAGCAAGAAGAGGGCATTTTCTCTGGCTGATCTTAGAGCAGTTTACATTATGCCCACTTAGTTCCCCAAACATCATCACATTGCATGAGCACACGGTGACATATTTAGTACCTTTGGATTTGGAAAAATATCATTCTTGGAAAGGGTTTTGCCATCAGCTCCTGTCAGGATTGAATTTTGGACATGAGTCACGATCTCAGCTGGAGTCAGTCTAGGAAAAGACAAGGTTTCCATGCTGGGGTCCTCCTGTCAGTGTGATGGGGAAAAAACAGAACATAGATTAAAAAGTAACTGGTAATTCACAGCATGCCTCGATGGCTTTAGACACGATCTGGAAGCTAAGACAGGCGTGATCAGCGCACACCTGCAAGCACGATAAAGGATCTGCAACAGACTGGGTACCAGGCACCTAGGAAACTGATCACATTCATGCACACGCCCATTTCTGCCCCAGCTCACGTCTGGGGGCGGGTGGCTCTTGGAGAATGGCCGGGTCTAGAATTGATATCCTTCTACTCAATAAAGAAAAGGCTCCGACTGCACTTGGTGCGTGGGTCTGCACAGCAAAAGAAGACAGGGGGAGGGGCGCCACGCTACGGAAAGTCATCAGCAGAACCCGGACAGGAAAAGCATCGAGTGACTTAAATTGGGCCCCCTCCACTCGCTGACATGAGGCAGAACAACCAACAGGGAAAGGGGCGACGGAGTGGGGGGCAGTACGGACACGCCAGCAGGGTCTGCCTAAGAACCCTCAGTGTCGAGGAGACCGGGAAAAGCCTCCGGGCCATCACGTTAGGACACGGGTGGAGAAGCTGCCATCAGACTAGTCCAAGGCCCCGCCCCCACGCACGACCAGGCTCCTCCGGGAGACAGCCCCGCGGCCCGGGACCCCCACAGCGGGGAGGAGAGGAGGGGTCAAGCGGAGAGGCCGCGAAGCCCGCGCCTGCGCCCGCCTTCCTGCCTCGGGCCCCTGGGCTGTGAAATGGAAAGACGACGGCCCCGCCCCGCCCCCAGGCCCGTCGGGAGGACCACCCAGGGAAAGCGCTTCCAGAGCCTTTCGGTGCACGGACAGAAAGCGCTTCGTGGGGCGGAAGGCCGCGCTCCCTCCCTGCCCAGGGGGGTGAGGCCCCCGCGTCCCGCCTCGGACGCGCCCCACCTTCGACCCCTGGGTCCTGGGCGCCCAGTCACTTCCTAAAGTCTTCGGCCCCGGGCCACGACAACGCGAGGACGAGGACGGTGATTCTCGCGCCCCTCGCCCACCTCCACCCTCCAGAAGCCGTTCGCAGCACTTTTCAAATCTGCCGCCGCCCAGAGAGCCGGAAGCCCCACCCCTTTCCGCCGGCCTTACTTCCGCCTCGCGTCATTTCCTGACGCGCTCCGGAAGTTCTTCTGGGTAGGGGCGGGCCGGAGCCACATTCTCGGCAGGCTGTGAAGGGGCGGGGCGCGGGGGTGCTCGGGTCTTGAGTCACTATTTTGAAGGGCCTGCTGTGTGCCAGGCGTCGGGGAGAGGACGCACAGGCCCTAGGCGGGCTCGGGAGGAGAGGAGCAGCCGAGGGCAGGCCCTGGAATTTCGGGGGGGAGGGCACTGCAGGGCTGGGGCACAGCCAGGGCCAGTGCCTGGGGTTTGGAGGTGTGAGGAAGAACCCGGAGGCGGGTTTCGCGGGATCTCTGTGGGGGCGGGGATGGAGGGGGTGCAGGAAGGACCTCCCCCCTCCCCCCCGCGCATTTGGAAGACCCCTTTGGCAGCCGCACAGAGCGCAGGAGGGACCAGGAGGGCCTTGGGGTGACGTGTTTCAATGCATGCCTCGTACTGTTTTTGCAGCATGGGTTCGGTAACGGGCTCCCCTCCGGCCTCCTCTGTGGCTCTGTTTTACTGTTCTTCCAGGCACCCACGCTTGAGCTCAAGCATCGGAGCGCCACTATGTCCGGCATATTTTACTAAATATCACACACTGGCCCCCAGTGATGCACTAGGATAGCAAGGGTTCTCGATCACAGTTGAAAGCAGAAGACACTCAGCAGAGGTGAGTTAAGGGAATCACAGGTGAGAAACGTCAGGGAAAGAACAGTCCAAGAATGGTTGCCGAAGCCACGCTGTCCAGAACGGCACAGGGACAGAACGTATGTAGCTGAGAAATAAAAGATTGAGAGTTAGCGTTGAAACAAATGTTGACCAGGTAGCCAAGTGAGGGTCGAGGATGGATTTTGTAGATGTAGCAGCGTTGAAGAAATGCCTTCAGCATTCACAGAATGCTGTGAGGAGCAGAACTTCAGAATTTGTTCTGCTTACAAAGAACTAATCTCTCTTGCACTGACATTAGATACTGTAAAACCTCTAAAACTTGTTTCTTTTTTAGCTGCATACCCAATTCCTTACAAAGTCCTACCAGGTCTTTGGGGTTTACTCTTTTACTCTCACATCTTCTGCAGTCACAACTTAATTCTGTACCTATTCTGTTTCGGTAGCCATGTGGTTATGAAGCAGCAGAGTTGGAATTCAGTTCCAAGGCCCAGCCCTTACTGTCTAGTTCAGTGGGGGATTTGCACTTCTGGGCACTGAACCACATAGGCTGCAAATTAAGGCTTCTCCAAAAGACAAGGAAGAGGACATGTGGAAAATTTGAAGCCGCCACAATCCATTACTGATGGGGAAGGATAAAGGAAAGGAAAAGTTAGTAGAAGAGGCGAATATGCCTTAGGGAGGGAATGGGGATACACTCTGATATCTAGAGAGGCAACCCATGGGTCAAGAAAGGGACAGGAAGGACTCAACGTGGTGAATAATGGACGAATGTCACAGGCAGAGTAGCATCCCCATTTTTATGGCGTTTTTTCTCCCCTAATGAGATAACATCCATCCCAAAGCAAACAAACACCACTTCCCATGTGTTTGAAAAATAGGAAAGGGATTGGGTAAGGAGTACATCCGACATTAGAGGTCTCTTTGAGCTTTGAGGAAAGCATTCCTGGAAGTCTCCTACCTAGAACATCACTCTAGTTCCTTCCATTCCCCTTCCCTTTTTAGGGGTATGGGGAAGGAAAGTAGATGGCTAACTCAATGTTAGGTACAACTGGGACATCCCCAAGCCTGTACATATCAGCAGTAGGAGTGTTACAGCCTGTTGTGGTAGGTCTTCACATTCAAAATTTTGAGGTGGCTGTGGAGGGAGACAATGCTTACAAATCACAGTTGGATCCCAAGAGCTTCTGATTCAAGCTTCCATAAGGGATCTAAGGGGGTCACCATTCTTCACGGCCTCCATGAGCTTCCCTTTTGCTATTGCATCATCAGTATTAGAACCAGTCAGTCCCAGATGAGACCATTATTGCCAATCTGGGGTGTCCATAACCATGGCGTGGGAGTAAGGGTAGCCTCAGCAAGGATTCCTTCAACATTGAATTATAGCAGAATTACACTGCAGAAAAGAAGTGTTGGGCATCACCCGCTTTTCCTGGCAGATCTTTCTGCAGAAGTAGAATTCTGCCAGTTGGCACTGTTGGCTCCCAGGTATTCCCTAAGGCAGATCTCAGCTGGGAGTCTTCCAAAAGTAGGTTGAACTATATTTGCTCTACAGAAAAGACTTCCTCTTGTAGATGTCATTTCCCTGATAACTGGACACCCATCAAGTGTGAGAATCAGTAATTAAGTCTACTGTTGGCACAAAGACTTTGTGCCTAGTGGTTGGCCAGAGAAGAATCTAATTCTAGTTTTGGTAACCCTAACCAAGGTACCATAGCAGGGGCCTTGAATTTACCTCAGAATTCACCCTTTTGAGCTCAGGACCACTATCTTTGTGACCATAGACTCTCATGAGAACCTTCCTGTCACCATGTCTCAAGCTGTAACAAGGGGTTTCTATAAAAGTACACGGCTTCCCACACACACAATACTCTGAGTAAGGGCTCAGCCAGCTGTCAGATTTTGGAAAGTGTCAAAAAAACAAGAAGTTATACCTTTAGAATGCTGAGGCCCCGGATAATTCATCTCCAAATGTCCTATATCTGTCCTTTAGGAGAGGGATTAGGGTTAGGCTTCCTTTCTTGCCCCAGACAACAGAATGAGGAGCAGTGGGTGAAAGAAACAGATTAGGTTCTCTGTGAGAAAAGGCTGCCTAGCACTTGGAGTCATCCACGGGGACAGCTATGAAAAAGGCTACCCTAAGGAAGAGGAGGCTCCTACAGAGCAGAGGATACACAGGGAAGGGTCTCCAACTGATGGCCCCAGGCTGTCTCACTCCTGCCATGAGTATAAATTAAGTGGTCGGACCCTTCCAAGAGCCAGGTCTGTCATGGCCTTAGACCAAAAGAAAGTGGTCTGGGATTCCTAGGAACCAGCACGTATCTGGGGTTATCCTCCTGACAGAGACAGAGACCTGAAAATTCTTCCATTTTCCCAAATCTCTCCTTGTCTTAGGATCCACTCTTGGGTTTCTTGTGAACTGTGTGTCCATGTTTCTCTCTGCAAAAGGAGAAGTGGGCCTCTTCCCTGGCAATCCTTTTAGGAGTACAAGGGGCTCAATGCCCACAAGTGGCTGAAATACCACCTAAAAAACTCAGGACTAATGATGAAGCACACTATCTACCTCTAGTGGAAGAACTGATATTGTTTGAATATGTACTGAAGCCGGCTAGTTTTCACTTTCATTTTTAATTTTTTTCAGTCTTCTTGTACACAATGACTAATATGAAAATATTTTATATAATTGCACATATATAACCTTTATCTGATTGCTTACTGTCTCAGGGAGGGGAGGCAGCAGTAGAATTTGAAACTCAAAACTTTAAACAAACATGTTTTAAAAATGGAAAAACAAAACAAAACCTTGGGCTCAGGATCTATTTTCTTGGTGTTTCAGTTCAGTTTTTTCCAGGATGCTCTTGGGAAAGACTTCCTATGCTTGTGCCATTGTGGTGGGCCTGCCTGAACATTTCTCTACGGTGGCAAGTCCTTGACATTTCTTTCCTCAGCCCTCTTAGAGATGGATGTAACTCTAAAGCCAGTTTGGGAAGGGCTTCCAAATCTCCACCCTGGGTGTGTAGGGGATTAGGAAGCATGACCATTGTTAGCTCCGTGGCACAGAGATAGTCAGCAGCGGGGATATTAGTGAGAGAGAAGTTTCAGCAAACTCATGAACTTTGTAATGCTAGGTTGACTGGTAAATCCATCCACAGCCCTGATGTTTGAGGTATTTTCTGTGGGAACCCAATCTGCAGGTGAGCTTTTCAAGCAGGGCCTGGTGACCTCTTGAGGAAGTGAAAGAAGGGATTCTTACTAAGGTTCTGGTTGACTGGTGATGTCTTGTGAACTCCCTTTCCCTGATGAAGATTGTGGGCTGCTTCACTGCTTTAACTGTATGCCAGCACAAATCAAGCACATCTGGCCCCTTCCATCAGCAGCTTGGCAACTAAAGTACAGCTTCCTGATCATGTCTGCCTGTTTTTTTGACTGACCTTGAATACAATCGAAATTTCTCCATGTCACACAAACACAGACACACACACACAATCTCTTTAACACCAAAACATTTGTGAATTCATTAGGAGCATGAATCATGGATCTCCATTAATGCTCAAAGTATGGTAACATCCAAGAATCACAGGACTCCCACCCTCCAAAGAATCCCTATTCTTACATACCCAAGCACTGGTCATCTGACTTTAGCCAGAAACACTCCCCCATTGGGGGGGCCACCTGTGGCCTTTTAGGCCCTCGGGTGTGGCCTTGTGATCAAGCTCAAGTTTTACAGAACAGGTTCAGTCAAAGGGCCACACCTGAGGACCTAGAGGACCACAGATGGCCTCCAGGCCTCAGGTTCCCCTTCTGGGCTTGGCAAGCTCACTGAACAGAAATGAAATGCGGCTGCTCCAAGTATGACTCTTGGCTGCCACCAAGTGGTGTGTGCGGAGAGCTGCTGCAGAGCTGGAACCTGTGTAGGAGAAATTTGAAAGGTTACACATGAGGTCAGTTAGGATGATTATCTAAAAGAAAAAATAGAATTCCCTCTCAATGTAGCCCAAGACTGGGTCAAGTTAATGCTGTTATGGCAGGCAAAAAAAGCCTTTTTCTTCCACTTCCTTAGATTCACCTGTTGTTACTTGGGTTTCAAAGTGACAAGATGAGTAGCTTAAGGATCTTGTATGCAAGCAGACAGTGGGCTAGTCTGCTGGTATAGGTGAGGGTTCCCCAGGGATCCCCAGGAGCTTGGAGTGAAATGTTCTGTAAGGTTGGGGGAGCTAATGGGGCTCATGTTGGCAGCAAAATGAGGTTAAACATGAATGGAGACTGTTTTGAGAGCGCCCTTTCCTGACAATTCACAGTAGTCAGAAAA